GGTACTTCACCTCTGGAGTTGCTCTGGATAAGAGTGTTTGCTGGAGGCCAACCATGTAGATGTGTTGTTTATTTATTCTTGTTTATTAAATTTATTCTTGAAATAATTCTTGAAATTTATCTTGAAAGTCACTCTGGATAAGAGCATCTGCTAAGCAACCAAAATGTAGACAAGTGCAAACATGTAGATGTAAATGTAAAATGCTTTCATATTTGCACCCCTTGCGCTGTTTTCACTCTTAGCCTCTACTATGAGTAAGAATATTTTGGGTAGTAAATCATATTAGGATGATGTTCACTCCCGACCAAGCTGCGTTCAAGCATTTGAACATGGGTTTGCATCTGTGAGCTGCGAGAGGAGAAGGAAAGGGAACAGAAAGTGGGGGTGTCTTACTGTCGATTGCCCTGTAGGTGGCGTTGAAGCCACTGAGGGACACACTGCCATCCGTGACAAAGTGCACCGTCAGGAAGTTGCTGCTGGAGCCGAAGGGGGCGGGGACAGTGCTGCCACAGAATGTGCCGACCAACGGGTAATTGATGTTGTCGCCGTCAAAGATCTGGGAAGAGAGAGAGAGAGAGAGAAAGAAAATGTAGATGGAGCGTGAAGGGAAGAAGGGAAGGAAGGAAAGCGAGTGTGGTATTGAGTGAGTGGGTTGAGTTTAACATTACCACATTGGGTTAAAAATGAGAGAGAGCAGATTATGACCTGGTTGAATTTTTGAAGCACACATTATGATCATCTTAATAATGTGGAGATGGGTCTTGATGCAATATCTTTATAGAATACAATTCACATTTGAAGTAACATGCTTGCTAAGCATCTTAACCACGGACCAACACATATTAAGGTGAGATTACCTTAATGTGGGGTGAGATTACTTTACCTTGACATGGGTTCATCTACAGGCGAGATTACCTAGAGATGAGTTTATCTACAGGTGAGATCACCTTACCTTGACGTAGTCATATCTGCAGGTGCCTCCTGATGAACCCTCCAGCTGGAAGGAGGTAAAGGTGAGGTTGACCACTTTGTTGGTTGGCATGGCGATGGTCCACAAGCAGTCCAAGCGCGGCTCGTATTTGCCATCCTGGTTTATGTCTGGAGAGCCAAAGGTTCCGGTGGGAGCTGTCAGGTACCCCCCGCAACCTTGCTGGGGCCCTGAGGTGAAACAGAGAGAGGAGAAGACAGGAAAAAAAAGGGAGGGAGAGAGAAGAGAGAAGGAGAGAGGGAAGGAGAAAGAAGGAGATGGTGTCACTATAGCAACACTTTGTAATGATGGAGGCTCAAACACAGGTCTCGTCCCAAACAGATTGCATGCTTCCTAAACTGACCAGCAGGGGCCAGTATCAAACCATAAATAGATTGAGAAGTGGCCGTTAGTGGCATTGTTTGAGGGTGACAGAGATAACTGTCTTATGACTGATTGCTTGCTTACATCAAACTAAAACGGCATGTTAATTAAAAAAAAAAAAACCCACCAAATTAATAATAATATCCACCCACAATTTTATCTGATATGACAATGGTAAAATGTGAAGTAAGTAGTTATCTCACAGATATTCTATTCGGTAAGGGTAGACAATCATCTCCCTGTGTTTCACACAAAGTTCTGTCTCTGTCATAGTTGAGGCTGTAAGTTTTCTGAATGCTTTTGTAGAACATTCTTCAGTGGGTGTGATCTAAAACACAGTATTCAAAAGTACCACAGCAACACAGACAGCACTGTAACCACAGGTTTTCTATCACCAGATATTCAGCTCCAGAGTTATTTCTGTCCTCCAGCTAGGAAGTTCCTGATGGAAACAGGGGGTTCCAGAGCTGTCTGAACTCCTATGCTCACCATGTATGTTCTGTATTAGACCACACCCCTTTAAAAATTTTCATAACAAACCAGCGGGTCAGAACGCTTGTCACTTCAACAATAGCAGAGACACCATTTTCCAAGTGACACACACCAAGCTGTCTTTACATAAGACCACATAATGATAAATTGGAGGGAATGCAGTAGTTGGATATCTCATCATAATCTAGAATATCAGTGGATTTTTTTTTTTTTTTGGTTGAAGGAGAGTGTCTGGATACATATTCAGGGAGAAATCACAGACTCAGGAGGGCAGTTACGCCTTCGACTGGAAGGGGTCCCTGTGGCAAGATCAAGACCGTTTGAGTTTGTCGCGGTGACATAAGGGAAACAGCTCGCAAACAAAAGCAAGGGAGGAGATATGAGGTAAGGCTTCGGTCCTCCCCGGGGACGGGAATGAAGACGCATTGCCCTTCTGTGAGCTCATATCTTGAGGAAATAAAACGTGGATAAAAAAATCCCCCCTCCTTAAACTCCAATCTGTTTCCCCTAGTTGAGTAACGCACTGAGCCACAGGTCAGTCATGTCCAGATGTTCTGACTGGCGGAGGCTTAGGCATAAACTCACCCTGTAATGGTGGCAGGCATCAAGCAAGCCTGCTGGCTGCTTAAAACAAGCAACACCCATCACCGCATCGCTCCCATTGGCTGCTTTAATATAGCATGTAGGTGATAAAGTATTGAGTATAGAGTATAAACAGCCCTATCCATACTAACCAATAATCCAGATTGGTCTTATTAAATTTAGATAGATAGACACAGGTCTGCGTTGCCCTGTTTAGTTTAAATGTTTCTGATTGTCTACATGCCCGCATTAGCTTCTTTCTGGGAGTGTCTTAGTTGTGGAGCAGTAGCCTATTTGCTATCTGTATTCTGATCATACTGATCATATTTATGGTGAGTCACAGAGAAATGTCCCACAATCCAGTTGACAAATTGCAAATTTACCTAGTCCTGTTTGACTCAGGACTGGGACTGAACGGGAGCAAAGTAGAAAGTAGAAAGCTGGGAAGGGAGGGACCTTTGATGTGTCATCATTCTCCTGCTCTGTCCCTGTGCCTCAGTAGAGCATGCTGGGATTGCATGTTAATGCACATGTCGCTCACAAACAGACCTGAGATCAATCAATTAATAAAAATGAAACTAATTCAATATAAATGTAAAAAGAATGTGGAAACATATATTTACTTACTTACTTTATTTGTATTGAAATAAATGGTATTTTTTTATGTACAGTTTTGCAATGACTGTTTATCGCTGCTGCTGTTTAATCAGATGATTCTGTTCAGTGGAGCGGCTGAGCTTATTCAATATCCCACTCCACATTCATAGATCACATTTTCTACAAGACAATTAATATCATCTGAGACACAGCAGTCCACACCCTGGCTGATATCTGTGGTCCTGTGCACCATGGACAGTTCTAGTGTTGCCTGTATTCCATTTCTGATCATGCATGTTCTGGTTTATATCATGCCCCTTCAAGGATGTTCACAATAAACAAGTCAGAAGACCGATAGCTTGAACAATGGCACACACAGAATTTTACCAAGCACCAAATTGAATATCTGGACTATATATAAAGAATCTTTGCTTCTGTGCTTGGAAAATATTCCCCTGTTCCTGCCTGTTTTTAGTCCTAGTTTGCTAACCCTTACCTCAGCTAGGTTTCCATCTGTACAGACCCCAACATGACATTTATAATGACCTACTACAGCAGTGCAGGCCTGAGTCACCATCATACACACACACACACACACACACACACACACACACACACACACACACACACGCACAAACACACTCACACAGACACACTCATGCACATACACACATGCAAACATTTACATTACTCATATCACCCACCCACCCATTCACCTACACACACACACACACACACACACACACACACACACACACACACACACACACACACACACACATACACACACGCCACACACCACACACACTCATTAGCGAGCATGACGGACAGGCAGTGCCTCAAAGGACTCCAGCAGTGGCTCTTTGGCTGCAGCTGGCAGGAAGAGAGCAAACTCCAAAACCACGTATCCACCTCTGACATGCGGAAAAGCACACCCAGGGAAACACTGATCGAGAGTATCGGGGAATTGGATTAACCCCCACCAAAAATGGGTGTGGTGGGGGCCTTGTGGCGCTGAACATGTCCCCTCTCACAGACAGCAAGCTGTGCACAGTAGCAGCAGAGCTTCTGTCTCTCTCTTGTTCTTTGTTTAGGGGCAGACTCTGACCGCACTCTGACAAGGGGAGAAACAGAAATCTCCTCACGGGGGCGTTTTTACAGCCGAACTGGGACTCAGGCTGTGGGACGAATTTCCATGACGACCGAAATCCATGCTAAATCATTTCCATCCGCTCTTCCACAGCTGGCTCAGCTGCCAAGTAACGGTCTTGCACAACGCTGGTGAGAAACGTTTTAGCAACACTGTCACAATGTTAGGGCAACGTCATAAGAATGTCACTGTGTGGAGAGCTGATCTCTGCTTCGTAGTGCCTCGCTCCCTCTGGCCTTGGACAGAGTGAGTCCCTTCTTCTCACAGCAATTTAGAATTAAACCACAAAGCTGAACTACCCAGTAAGGAAGGGACCTGGGATTTAGTAGGACTTCCTGTAATCTCATTATCATTCTCCACAGGACTCAGTCAAAAGCTGCCAAGTCATCTTAAGGGGAAAATGCCATGTTAAAACAAAGCCACCCATTGTTAAAATGGCTCGGTGGTTTTGATTGAATCCAGGAGTCACTTTATTGAAACGAAGCGCCGGATGAAGCAGGGAGGAATTAGTTGCCGTTGAGTGAACAGCAGTTTTCCTTCAGACGACCTGCCAGTTTTGAACCAATCCAGGAGTTGCTTTATTGGAATACAGTGCAGTGCCAGATGAAACAGGGAGAGACTAATTGTCGTTGATACTGCTGTTGAATGAATGGCAATTCTCCTGAAGACAACTTGGCAGGTTTTCAGGTCACTGTTTTGGCCTGCCCTCCTTTTTTGTTTCACCAGAGGCAAGTAAAGTGGTACGAGATATACATCTCAGCCTATCAGATCCATTCCCCTTTCAGGTTAGCCTATCACATTTATTAGCTGTTAAGACTCATTATATTTAGCTGGTGGCCAAGTGGTTAAGGTGTTGGACTTAAGATCCAATGGATGCATGCCCATGTGGGTTTGAACCCCACTTCTGGTAGGAGTCCCTTTTAATCAACGAACCTGCCTAAGCATTCCAGATCCTACTTGAGCAACAAGTGTATCTCAAAATGCACTAATTAAATTTGCATTGAGATATATGGTAGTATTCCATATTTAGCTTCCATTAGTTTTCATGAACAGCAGTGTGGTGGGGTTCATAACCAAAAGGTTGCTGGCTCGCTTCCCTGCTATAACACTACTATTGTACCTTTGGGCAAGGTACCTAACCCACAATTGCCTCAATAAATATCTAGATGTATGAATGGATAAATTTGTTAACTACTGTATGTAAGTCACTCTGGATAAGAGTGTCAGCTAAATGAAACTCATTTAATGTAAGCTGGCAAATGAGGGCCATGCCTCTTTCCTGCCTTTGCAGCATGAGCCAATCAGGAGAGTCAACTGAAGGGGCTGCTCCACACAATTGGTTGAACCACCTGGACATTATAAGAAGGCTGCACAGATGGCTTTCTCACTGGTTTGTCCACTGAAACAGACATCTATCACATCTACTGTTATCTGTCTCACTCAGGTACATTAAAAGACAAAACAGGCAGGTTCTGATCTGGTCTTTCATATGATACATTGGAAGAATTCAGAGATGGCCTTTTTACCATTCGTATATAATATTTAATTCCAAAAATAGTTTTACATTCTACTTGTTAATTTATTTCTCATTTATTATTCAATATACTAAGGTTTCTTGATGTGAATGTCATGCCTGTGAAAAATCCAGCCAAATTTTCCCTTTGGAGCAGTTAAAGCTGGAGCTGAACTAAACTGAACTGGTTCAGGATTCAGGTTCCAGCACTTTCATGTGTTTTTTTTTTCCTTTATAATATTCATGCTTGCGATCACTGTCTGTATGGTGAAAAGAACTTCTGTTTCGGCCTCTGAAGAGCAGTCTGGGCAAAGGCCTTTGGATATGTGACACCCCACGCCCCACCACAAAAAAGAGAACTATTTCTGAGCCCAAACGCCACATGGCCAGCAGTGATTGGTTATGGATCTGTGTGACTCATTCCACAAATATGCCCTCATGCGTAATTTCATTACCGCTTTGGATTAGAAAATACAGCAGTCCAAGACAGAGTGGAGAGAGAACATGTGCATGAGAGTCGGCTGGAGAGACCCGTAGTTCTCTCTGCAACTGGTTCAAACACAACATTAAGGCAGTGAGATTCTCAGGCAAACTGCAGCCACATTAAAATGACCATTAATGATATCTGCCAGGGTAAAACTTGACCAAACAAACGTAACCACTCATAAAACAAAATGTGCTGCACTGTCTGTACACTGAAGGGACTGTAGATTACTAGTGCTTCCTGTTTTAAGGGGTTATAATGCATTATTAATGGTTGTAAGGTTATGGCCTGCTGGGTTTGGTTATAAGGTTATGGTTGCGGCCTGCTTTTCAGTTTCTGCTTCAGAGCATTGGGAAGGGCTTTAGCTGTATTGAGGTGCACTCAATCCAGACCAGCTGTGCAGTGATGCTGCTCTGCTGGATACAGTAGAGATGATAAAGACAACACTGGCAAACCAGGTAAGGTCACCTGTATGTGCATCTCAGCTGATGTTACTTGCCTCAGCACATCATCTCTCAGGCGCTGTCCCCTACCTGTCTGTTTCAGGTGACATCACCTACCTAATGTCTGTCTCAGGTGCTGTTCCCTACTTGTCTGTCTCTGTTCTCTGTTCCCTACCTCTGTCTGAGGTGAGATTTGCCTATCCAGTGTCTGTCTTAGGTTATATCACCTGCCTACTGTCTTTCTCAGGTGATATCACCTACCTGTTTGTCAGGTGTGAGGTACCGTCACCTACCTAAGGTCTCGCTGTACGTGGCCCTCCAGCCCAGAGCAGTCACAGACCAGTCAGTCCTGAAGACAATGAAGAGGTGATTGGCCGAGGATTTGAGAGTGGGCGGGATTGCGCTGCCGCAGAACTTCCCCAGCAGGGGGGCCAGGGTGTCCTGTCCATCATACACTGCCACGTAGTCATAGCGACAGTTGGAGGAGGCCTCCAGGTGGAAGGTGTTGAACCTGAGTGAGCAGGGAAGAGAGCAGAGATTCATCAGTATAGAATGACCAACACAGCTCAGCACTGCTCAATACAGGAGAACCTCTCCACTCACAGGGATACATTCTACAGATTCCTGCAGATGGAAGAATCTGGGAAAAGTATTCTGTATCCAATACCTAAGGTTTATGTGGTAAAAGGAACATATGGCAACAACAAGTGATGAGTATGTATGGCTTTGATACAGGAAATGATGCATGAATATGTAATAACGGGCCAGGAATAAGTGCGGCATGAGTTCTCCAGATTGTGAACTGCAAGCTGGAGAACAGTGAGGGAGATTCCAGTGTTAACGTATTACACTGGTGCATCCTGTAAGAACCCTGCACCACAGAGACTCAAGCCCTGGCAGGGAAAACCTAAGACAAAGGCCTCTTCTTGCCTAATGTGTTTAAATTATTCTCATTTCCTATGCTAGCATTTCCCACTTTTCCATTGATTGCTGAATTAAATTTATCTTTCTGGCGTCTGACTGGTCCTATCACAACTGATGCTACATTTGTCCTAAATTGTTTTATCCAATGCAATTTTGCCTGTGCCATAGACTGTGCGTTCTTTTTTTGTGTCTGTAAAGACACGACCGTGAAGGGACAACACACTTCCTGTTCCCTTGTAAAAATGAGGGCATGCTATTTTGACTTGATCTGAGAGGCAGAGAGGGAGACCATGGAGGATGTCTTAGCCACACCCACTCTGACCACACAATGGGCTCAGTGGGCTTTGTGACATCGCACAGTAGGGCACACACCTGTGGGGGGAAACGGATGCCAGCGCATTGGACAGAAATAACCCAGCGAAGGACAAAGCAAGCCTGAAGAATGGCCTACAGCTGCAATGGCCCTCTCAAGTCTCCTGATGTTAAGATAAGTGTGCGTGCATGTGAGAGACAGAAAGTGTGTGTATGTGTGTGTGTGTGTGTGTGTGTCTGTGTGTGTGTGTGAGTATGAGTCACCCCACATATCCATTGCCAAGTGTCTAGACAGCCATCAGAGATCCCTGCCACCTGACATCAGAGATCCACTGGCTGGCACCAACTGACTGCCACCTGACGCTGCTGGTGTGTATCACATCACCCTTTCTGATACAAAAAATGTCCTAATGTCCTAATATGCCAAATGCAGGGCTTTTGTCCACTGAGTAACAATTCATGAATTGATCATCATCTATTTTCCTTGAATCAATAACCGGTCATCTTTGGGGTCACGGGTCCTATAAGTCACCCCAACAAAAAGCAGCCTAACACTCCTAGCACAGGACAATACCAATCTGGAAAGAGGAGGAGGATCCGGACTGTACCATTCTCACACAGATTATGAGGGGTTAATGGAGCAAGCTTTCAACATGTCATTTGGGACAAATTACTTTGCTAACTTACTGATATGGTGACCTGCTGGGGCCTCCTTAATCTGTGAACTGCAAGATTTGTTTTTATTTGGTGGTACTAAGTCATAGATGAATTGGATCGTGACCCTTGAGGGTCCTAGGGGTGGGGTTTGTGACCCCTCTTTTGAGTGTTTTTTTAGGCTCTCCCATCTCCGATCCTGGGGTATCCCAGCAGCTGTGTCACAGCCTGAGGTGGCAGACTCACTTGAGCTCGATGATCCTGTTGTCCCCGACGACGATGTGGTAGGTGCAGTTCATGTTGTGGTGATAGTTTGTGATGGAGAGGGCGGGGCTGCTGACGGAGCCGGCACTGCCGTTAAACACGCCACCGCAGGCTGGAAGAGAGAGCGGGCGCCACGTATTACCAACAAAATACTCCCCAGACCTGCCCTCACGCCAACATTAACACACCGGCATTCACACACCCACATCAAACTCCTGCGTTCATATGCTGTGCCTGTTCAACTACAATAATCTTCTTTCCTTCATATACTATGTCTACACAACTACAATCCACTACACCCACTAGCATTCATATGCTGTCACCAAATTCATAACCTCAGAGTGGTATTCTGGTACCTATATACATATACCTACAGTATATGTACACAGTCACATGCTAAGGAGAAGACTAGAAGGGAATGCATTTATTTCACATTTACTCTGTATTTGCTCAGAGGAGCAGGCTTAAGAAGAGAGATGATCAGATGATCCCCTGGAAGGACTTATGGGAAGTTAAATTACCTAAAATGGAACATAATCCTCATCATACTGGGATTGCTGGAGAGACTCCCTCAATGCAGGAGTCAGAGCAGGATTCACCCCCACTGCTTTACACTTCATCATGAGATATAAGACTCTGACAGTACTGAATAACCTTTCTGTGCACTTCACATGGAGAGATAAAGCTCTTTCATGCAGATGCCCTAAAGGGACATTGAATTCAATCATCCTGCTTTGCTGATTTGTTTTAAATTTGGAGGTCTATTTTAAGTGTGGCTTGAGGAAGCAGCCAAACGGAAGTGTCCTACACTCTCTTTCTTGTTCACTCACTGTTGTCTTCACTCACTCACTCATTCACTCACTCACTCAGTGTTTCACTCAATGATTTACTCACTCACTCTCTAACTCAGTCACCCACTCACTCAAAGACTCAACGTGTGAGTGATACCCTTAACAATGAATGGCATCACCTTGGGGGCAAAGAGACCAACAAAGTATCTTTCGCAACCATGTAACAGTCCAAACACAATCTTTTATCACTAATGGAACATGGTTGCTACGACCACAATAAGACCTGTATCCTTTCATCTGGCTGAAACAGCACAATATCAACAGGAGAAAGTAACAGCCCTCTTCTGGCAGTTATGGGTACTGGAAATGATTAATAATAGGGCCTTTCCAACTATGGCTGGAGACAGGCATCTCCTCCAGCTTTCCTGGCGTATAAGGACCCGATTGTTTTGTTGCTGGTTTGAAAGATGTCCGTCGGCCATTTTGAGTGCCGCGTGGTGTCTGGAGAGCTGGGAGACTGTTCCTC